TTAGATGTTAGTGATGATGACTTTGAGGATTCTGATAAAAAAAATGTCAGTGATAATAATAATAGTATTAAGTAGTTAAACCAATCTTTTATTTCTTTAATTTGTTTAATTCTTTTATTGTAAATAAAATAAAGTTTGTTAAAATTTTCAAAAGATGTTTATTTTAGCATATATATTAAAGATGAGGGACGAAACTCAAAAAAGGCAATTAATAAACAGCCGAAACTATATTAAAACATAGTGAAGAGTACAACGAAATCCCGAAATCTGAAATTAGCTGAAACTATATTAAAAACATAGTAAGGGATATGACAAAATTATTTTGAGGGAGTTTCGGCTGGCATCTTTAATATATATAAATATGAAGGTGTTTTTTTTGGGTGTTTATTTTAGAAGTATATGGTGTTACTACATTTGGATATTCATATCTATCATAATAGATCTTCTTTCATTTTTATTATATTTATATTCTTACAAATATATATAAGTTGAACAGGTTCTTTTAAAAATCGTATATTTTTTAATATGTTTTACTTATTTTGAAAATATGGTTTGTTTAATATGCATTTTTAAACTTCTAAAAAAATGTGATTCTGATATTTATTAGCATAATTATATTTAGTATTTCTCTTTAAAATCTTTATTATCTAATAAGCTTCTTAATTTTAAATATTTTTTTTTGATAATACTCTTCTGTTTTATAAAATAAGTTTCCTATTTTCAAATATAATATACTATAATTACCTTTATATCATATGATTTATATAATATTATTACTGATATTTATCTTCTCTTGTTTATCTAATAATAGCTAAATAAATCTATATATACTTAAGCAATATAAATAATTATAAGTAAAGAGTTTCTTATTTTCTTTTTTCTTTTGCTAATTTTAATAATAATAAATATTATTGACTTATTTTTTTTTTTTTAAATATATACATAAATTATTAAATGAAAATATAATTAGTGATAGTTATAATAAGAGTGAAGAACTTTTGAAAATGGAGATGAAAATGATTATAATAAGGATAATTTTTCAGAATATCTAAAAAATAATTGTTTTCATTTTTTTTACACTATATTTTAATTTCTCCTTTTTTTTTTCCTTCAAGTCATAATTCTTGAATTTCTAATATATACTACTTTAATATTATGAATAATATTCTCATATCAATAAAAAATTTTAATAATAAACTTTTTATCTTTCTTAAACTCTTTTAAGTTTTTTTTATCTAATCTTTAATGATTCCATTTTTTATCCAATTATTAATAGCTTCATTTTCTGTCAATTTGATAATCTTACCTTTTGACTATTTTTTATCAATTTAATCTTTCATGTATTCTTTAAAAGCTTTATTTTCTATCATTATATCTTCAATAATAATTTAATTTTGAGATATATAACATTCTTTTTTTCTAGATATTTTATTAATTTACAATATTTACATAGCATTTTAAAGTATAATCAAATTTTAAAATTAAAAAAATAAAAAAAATAAATTTAAAAAAATAAATCAAAAAAATATCTGAGCCTAATTAACTATAATTCTAAAAATGCCTCCTAAACTATTTTTATAAAATTTGAGTTTTGAAATATTTGAGATAAAACTTTGTTTATAATAAATATCTTTACTTAAACTTCTAATAGATTTTCCTAAACTTAATTAAATTTCATCAAGTTTCAGATTTAAAAAAAAAATCATTTTAAAAGTTTTAAATAATTTCTCAATTTTTAAGCTACATGTTAAAATAAATTTTGAACAGTATTATTAGACTATGATTAAGATTCTTCAAAATCAAATCAAATCAAATATTAAAGCAATTTAAATTTGATTTAATTTTTCAAATTGAATCAAATTGAATTCAAATATTTGATCAAATCAAATCAAATTGAATTAAATATTTGTCAAATTAAATCAAATTAAATTAAATATTTAATTGAATTAAATATAATATAAAAAATTTTAATTTTTACAATGATATATTAAAACTTTAAAATAACTTTATTTTAATTAAGAGAACTATTAGTAATATGTACTAAAAATTTCAAAGATAGCTTTTGCAAATTAAGTTTAGTAACAGGCGAATTTTTACTAAAAAAAACTTAATAAAATACTCTGCAGCTTTATTTTTACTAAGAAAACTTAATAAAATAACTCTGCAATTTTGGTTTTATTAAGAAAACTTAATAAAATAACTTTGTAATTTTAGTTTTATTAAAAAACTTAGTAATAACTGCTATCATAGTTTTAGTTTAGTTTTACTAAGAAAACTTAATAATAATTGCTATTGCAATTTTAGTTTTACTAAGCAAACTTAGTAATAATTTCTATCATAATTTCAGTTTAGTTTTACTAAGAAAATTTAGTAATAATCACTATTGTAGCTTAAAAATTATTTTATTAATAAAAAATGTTTCTGAAGCTGTAAATGCATTTTTTTTATTAGGTTTCTTAGTAAAAAAATATCTTCAAAGCTGCAGATGCATTTTTTACTATAGCTTCTTAGTAAAATAATATTTCTAAAGTCATAAAAGTATTTTTACTATATTTTCTTAGTAAAAAAAGCTTTTACAAAACTGTGAAAACACTTTTTATTATTATTTTTTAGTAAAAAAAGTATTTATAAAGTTACAGATGTACTTTTTACTATAGTTTCTTAGTAAAAAAAGCATTTTGAGTTATATAGGCACTTTTTACTATAGTTTTCTTAGTAAATACCACCTTTAAAGCTTTAAAAATAGTTTACTATTAATTTAAATCTAATTAAATATTTGAATACTTGATTTAAATTTGATCAAATCAAATAAAGATTAATTTGGATTTGATTAAATAAAATCATTTTTGATTAAATCAAATTAAATAATGATGTTATTTAAAATCTATTTTAACGTGTAGTTTAAAAATTAAAAAACTATTTCAAAATCTTTAAAATGATTTTTTTTTAAATCTGAAACTTGATAAACTTAATTGAGATTAGGAAAACTTATTAGATGTTTAAGTAAAAATATTTATTATAAATAAATAGTTTTATCTCAAATATCTTGAAACTCAAATTTTCTAAAATAGTTTAGGGAGGTATCTTTAAAATCAAATATAAATTTATATTTGTATTTAATTTAATTTTTAATTCGAATTGTAGAACTCTAACTATGATAATTTAGACTAGCATTAAATTATTATAATATTGATTTAAATTATAATTTTTTTGATTAATAAAATTGTTTGTACAATTCATTTTAAATTTGAGGGTATTATATAAAAATTACTTAATTTTAAATTCTTATAACTTTTTATATAGACATTCTTTGAAAAATTTAGCTAGTAATTTAATAGTACCTATTTAAAAGAATAAAGTTATCAGTTTATTTTTTTAAATTTTATTTTTTATAAAGTATTACAAATTTATTTTTAAGTATAGATTTTAGTACCATATTAAATAAATACATTATAAATTAATTATAATAATATAAATTAATATAAATTATTAATTATAATATTGTATTTATTATTTTTATAATAATTGCAAATTTTAAATCTTTAAATTTGCAAATTTGCAATATATACAATATTATAAATTGTGATATCTTTTTTAATTAATAATTACATATACTATCTTTATAAATAAAAAAAAAAAACATAGGCTAATTTGGCTTTACTCAAATTTTTATATCACTAATGTAATATCATATGATATCTGAAAATTGATAATTAAAGTGCATTTATTAGTTCATTTCATATGATAATTAATATATAATTATCAAAAAAATTCACACAAAAGCAAAAATATACTATTATTCTCTAAAACCTATAATAAAAGAAATAAAAAATTTAAATAATTAATATTTGTTAAATATATAATATATGGGAGTGTTTCCAGTAAAATCACATTACAGATCATATGATTTACTATGCCTCATGACTTGATTTTACTGGAAACGTTTCCATATATATATTAAATAATAAACTCGTATATTTTGACTGTTTTATCTTTAAATCTTTTGCAATCTACAACTTAAAAACTTCAGAAAAGCCCTTTGGTTTATATAAACGTTCTAACAGTTTATATTCTGCTAAAATTTGTCTTTGAATAACAAAAACATGTTGACTAGATTGCCGATTCATTTCTAATTTCTTAAAATTAAAAAAATATAGATCATCAGAATTTTATGATTGATAATGGATTAGGTTTATTCTTTTGTATTACAGATTTCAAATTTATGTGATAAAGTCAAATAATTGGTTTATCTTAGTATATTCCTAAAGAAAATAAAGAAAAAACAACCTTTAATTGTCTTATTTTAGAGAGAATTTGACATAAATTTATTAAATTTTCTGAATGTGAAGTTATTCACAAATTTTCATTAACCAATATGTAAAAACATCACTTTCTTCAAATCTCTTAGAAAAAGGGCTTATTACATTGTTGTATTTGCGCGATTGTTGGTCGCCACACAGTTAATTTCTTATTATCATAATGCCAGCCAAAAAAAATCTATCAGATTACGTAATTCTACACCGCTTTAGACGATCCCCTAATATAGTAATTATTAATATTGTCAGTTTTTTGATAATGCAATGTGATAAGATAAGCATATATCGTAGTTCGAAATTATCAGCTTTGATTGTACTCATGTGTAACAAAGCAAAGCAAAACAAAAAATAAGATGGGCTGTGTGACATTTAAACATATGTTATGGTTGCGCAAAAAAGAGATCGTCATGTCATTTAATAAAGTTAATGTAATATTACTTGTATTATATATAAATTTTTTTAATCTTTTTGCACAATAATAAACTTCCGTATAAGAATTTAAAATTACTATAAAAAAGATCATTATCACAATCTGATAAGTAGCTATGAAGTTTGAATTTTTAATGTTCAATGATGCGCATAAAGACAAAAAAGAAAATAATATTACTGTTCTATGCTAATAACGATGAATAGGGAATAAATATATATTACTGCGACAAAATAAAAAAAATTTCAATTATGTAATTAAAGCTTTGATTTCTTTGGATCATCTAAATCTCCAATATAAAATTCGTCCAATAAGCCTCTCGCCTTTTCTGAATGAATTGCATTAAATTCGTCAGAACAATCAGTACCAGCATTGATTCGAATAGCAGTGATACCACCAGGATGAATTGGAATAAATTTCGTGCAATCATAAACTTTATTATTTATGACAATCCAACAATCATTCTCATGTTTATGTTTTCCTACTTGTTCCATCGTAAACGTTGTAACTTTGGAAGAACTTTCATTTTTTGGTGCAGGCTTAGGTGCAGGCGCAGAAATAGCAGGTTGTTGTCCTGCCATCCATCCACCGGGAATATTACCAGGTTCAATTGGATGTTCAAATTTCAAAGAAACATCTTTTTCGGAAGTTATAACATGAACCTTTACTCTATATTGACGATTATTCATCATTCCCATTACATTCCAAGTTGGATTTTCTGGTTGTGAATTATGAGCCGAATCCCACGCTCTAACACGAAATTCCGAACAACGTATGAAACTATGTGTAGGGACCGTTAATGACCAAAAGGTCCAACACCAAGTTCTACCATTACGTTCTAAAGGATCATATAAATTCGCAAGAAACCAAAATTTACCATCATCCAAAGTTATTTCAACACGTGTAACTTTACGACCTCCTCCGGTATAAGCGTAACCTTTAAGAGTATACTCGGAATTATTTGAAAGTCTTGAGAACGGAATGATTTCATCATGTGCTGGAGCAGCGATTGCCGAATTAACGTTTAAATCGTATATAATATAATTGGGAATATACCACCATTTCTCTTTATTGGCACGTTCAGCATCCACATTTGGAGGTAATACACGATTATCATGAAAATGATACCAACTATCAGATTCCTTATCAGTTAAGGTGATCCTATTAAGCCATTTAATCATACGACCTCCGATAATTCCGGGAATGATCATACGAACTGGAAATCCATGATCAGGAGTTAACCTTTTACCGTTAATTTCATATGCCAACATAACATCCCTTTCTTCATCCATCGCCCATTTTAAAGTTATACTTGTTCCGTAAACCCCGTTTGGTAAGTCATCAGCCCCGTCAAAACAAACATAACGAGTTTTCTCATAATTATCAACAACTTTTACTCCTGCCAATTGTAAAATATAACGTAATGATACACCTTTCCATACTGCTGTGCTTACTCCTGCTGGCCCCCAATTAAATCCAATCGTTTGTTTAATCATATTTTGTTCTTTACGGCGATTTCCTGCGCAAGCAAAAGTTACAGGAAATTCAAGATATGGAAGACTTGCGATGTCATCCATTGATAAAGAAAGTGGGTTGGGCACATCTCCATCGATTATTATTTTATGAGTATCCCAACTGAGTTTCGGCACGGGTCCATGGTTTCTAACATAATGTAGAGAAGTTGGTGTTATAAAACCTTGTTTTAATAATAATGGTAAAGGGGCTTCGCAGTTAAAAGGATGTTTTCCTGTTAATCGTATAAGTTCGGGATGTCTTGGAACCCAATCGTCAGGAGTTCCAATATCACGAGGATCAATTTGTTCTTCATTAAAAATTGTTGCTTGAGCCATTATTATCAAAGAATAATTTATGAAATCCCTTGGATCTGTACGTTCAATATATATGATAAATTCGATAAAAAAAAATTTTTTTTTTCTGCAATTCATTAAGCACGTCGGATCTTATCTTAATCTTATCGTTGTTATCTTTGAATGATTGTCTATCTTTGTCTATCTTTGTTACACGTATTTTTAAATACATTTGAAAATTCACTTTTTTTCGAGTTCGAACATTAATTTGTCTAGTGTAATAATATTTTGTTATCAATTTTTTTTTTTTTATCAACATGCTTCCTGATAAGCTTGTTTCCTAAAAACAAAAATATTTAGAAAATCTTTTGCTTATCATATCAGACATATAAATTTACAGATATAGTTGGTATTAAATTGGTGTGGGCTTAACCTGAAAATTCTCCCAATATTTAAAATTTTTTTGTATACCATACCATATAAGTCGAAATTTATTGGAACTAACGTTTTGGAATTCGGAAAAAAGTATTCGCGGCAAAACTTACAATGTAATGTTATCTATAAAAGAAAAAAAATAGATTAGCATACAAAATATAAATAAATAATTTCAATTGTCATGCATAAATCTTGTATCACATTTGATTTGTATCACTTTGTTTAAATATGTAGTATATATAAACTAATTATATAAATTTCAACACACGATAGAGGATAGATAGATAGAAGAATCCTAGATAGAAGAATCCAAGATAGAAGAATCCATAAAAAAAATTCTTACTCAGTTTTTTATTTATTTTTTTTTTTTTAAGAAATAAATGTCTTTTATTATTTAATTTTATTTAATTAGATTTAACTATATTATTAATGAGACGATTTGATTTTTACGTATTTTAAATCCGATCTTCAATTTACAGCTTGATTTGCTATTTGCCTTTCTGTTAATCGTTCTTCAATATCAATTTCTAAAATTCTCGTTCATTATCAGTTTCATTAGTTTTTTTTGAATTTGTTTACTTCTTTGATCATGTGTTATAATTTATTTAAAAAAAAGTTTTTACTAAAATAAACATAAGGGACGACCACCAAAAAGTCTGGGCCTAATGGAAGTCTGGTAAATCGTGTATTGAAAGATAGTACACAAGATAAGATATAAATGATAATAACATTATAGAAGATAAAACAAATAATTCAAAAGGGCGAAGATATAGGAATTGTAGGGTATAAGCATTATGCAAGAATATGTCCAAATGTAGTTTAGTGAACAATAAATAATAATAGATCCTCTTTTTATGATTTCATCATTTAAAATTAATAATATTAAATTATTTAAAAAGTTAAATAGTAAAAAAAATTTTTTTATTTTGTTATAGTTATTGTTTTTCTTTAAATTTAAATTTATTTATTCCAGTATAAAAACTCCATATTTATTATAAATTTCTTTATTTTAAAAGAGATATTCATATATTTCTACCTATATAGAAATTATTAAATACAGTATATAAATTTTACTTTATAAATTAACTTAAATATATGGTAGGAAAATGGAACTGAGAATTTTTATTAAAATTTTAATTTTAATCTAACATTATCAAAAATTAAAATACAATAAAAATTTCTTAGCCTCATTTTCTTAACAAATATTATTTTTATAATATTTTCAAATTTCTTTTTTTATATTTGAATTATATTTAATATTAACAATTATATTGAATCCAATCTATTAAGTATATAAAATTTTCAAGTTTTTTTATAAATAAATAATACTTAAATATATAGGAAGCAGTCAGAAAAAAAAGGAAAAATCCAAAATTTTGTTAATTTTAATTATTAAACTAATTTTGTGCACATGAATGAGATCAGCAAAGTGGTCTAATAATATAAATTTTGACCAAAATTTGGATTTTTCCCTTTTTTTATGACCGCATCTCATATAAATAAATGTTTTAAATATAAATTTTTATATTTATTAAAAAATATTCAAAACTTTGATCTTAAATTAATGCAAAAAATTATTAATTAAAATAAATTTGTTTTTTGATTTTACTCAAAACATATGGGAGGCGGTCAGTAGAAAAAGGGGAAATCCAAAATTTTTGTTAATTTTAATTATTAAGCTAATTTTGTGCACATGACCAAGATCAACCAAGTGATCCAGTCTAATAATATAAATTTTGACCAAAATTTGAATTTCTCCCTTTTCTACTGACTGCCTCCCATATTATCCCTTAGACTGTAAAGCAGGCAAATTTGCCTGCGAAGTTAAAAAAAAAGTGTTAATTTCTTAA